TACTCAAAACAAGCATCCTTGACCTTCAATATGCCAACAACTGAGTCATCCTTGTGTACACTGAGGAAAACCTCCAGACCACTTGGATCTTTTCAGAGAAGCCCACCAAAATTTGGTCTCTCTCTCAACATTGAGAAAGCTAAAATGCTCTATTAGCCTTCCCTGCCCTGGACCATGAATGTGACCCCTTTCCCCCAAATTACCATTGAGGGAAAGACCCTGGAAGTAGTCAAGCACTTCCCTTACCTTGGCAGCCACCTCTCTCAGAGAGTGACCATTGATGAGGAGATACAGCACAGTATCCAGTTTGCAAGTGCTTCCTTTGGGAAATTTCTTCAGCATGTCTTTATTCATCGCATTCTCCAGAAAGACACCAGGATTGAGGTCTGCAATTTAGTCAGCATCTCCGTTCTCCTCTATGGATGTGAAACATGGATGACCTACTGTCATCATCCCAAGGGCCTGGAGAGGCATCACCAACAATGCCACTAGAAAATCCTTTACATCAGATGGGAAGATCACTGCACGAACACTAGCATCTTTGCTGAAACCAGTGTTATCAGCACTGAGTTGGGATCCTTAGGCTCCAACTTTGCTGGACTGGACATTGTGTTTGGGTGCCTGACTCTGAACTCCCAAAACAAGTATTATACTCACAGTGGCCAGAGGAAATGCTGCAAGGACACACTGAAGGCATACCTCAAGAAAACGGATGCCAGTATCAAGACTTGGGAGAAGCTGGTTGCTGACCAGGTCTAATGGCACTGCAAATTCAATCAAGTGGCTGCTCATTTCGAGGTAAAGTGTGTCACCCTTGAAACAAAGGAGAGTGGAGGAAGGAAAAAGAGAGAAATCCTGACCTATGGCCTATCTTCTTCAAAAAGACCTGCAACTTCTGCAGTTGGGTCTGTGGCTCAAGGACTGGACTCTGAAGTCACCTCAAGTGAAGCCATCAGTGAACCATGATAAGAGATCATCCTCGAATCAAAGGATTGCCACTAATGGCTAGGAATCCTGGTTTTCTTTATTAAAAGAATTGCAGATTCTCTGTTAGAAACCCCAGAATCCGTGATTAAAATGAAATGCCACTATATATGTAGGTATCAATTAAACACAATGTTTTATTGATATATCTACAATTTTAAAGCAGTTTGGAAGCTTACCAGTGTCTCAGTCACTAATAAAATAAATTCTAAATACCTAT